CCAGTGTTTGTTTCTTAGCCGGTTTTCTTCCTTTTTGAGGATTCCTTGGAAGTGCCTATTGCCAAGACCGTTCTGGCCCAGTGAAGGGGGTAGAAGCTCCCGTTCTTGCGAGTGCATCTGCGCATTCGTTGCCCTCAACTCCCATGTGCCCAGGCACCCAGGGGAGAGTTACTTTGTTTTCTTTTCCTAACTCATTGAGTTTCTGTAGACTTTCCCATACTATCTTAGAATTGATGAGTGGTGAGTTCAATGCTTTGGTAGCTGCCTGGCTGTCAGACATTATCGTAATTTCTCGTTTCCAGTTAAGGGCGGTAAATGCACTTTCCGCATGTGTTAGGTACAAAATTTTACCTATGAGCATCTACATCTCCAAAAAAAGGCATTGATAAAATTAATTAATGAATCAGATTAATTAATGGAATAAGATTAAATTTAGAAATGATCAAAAATCCATTTTCTGAAAAAAAAGGAATTTTGATTATAAATATCAAATTCTACTTTACTGCACACTATGCGGTAAAGTGCACTTTACCGCACACTTTGTAGTCCACTTCACCGCATACTATCCTGTAAAGGTAACTTTACCGCACACTATGCTGTAAAGTTAACTTTACCGCATAGTGTGCGGTAAAGTGATACTTTCTATTTTCAAATACGTGCGGTAAATTGCACTTTACCGCACGCTCGTAGGTAATAGTATATTATATAATAAGTGTGGTAACTAGGTTATTACCGCACGCGAGAGAAATTTGCAAACCGAGCCGGTGAGGCGAGGTTTGCAATCTCTAAGGGCGGTAATAACCTAATTACCATACGAAATATATACAGTATTTTATCTACAAGCGTGCGGTAACAAAATATCCGAAAGAAGTTTAAAAAATTATAAAAAAAAGTATGTCTGTCACCTTACTCACCTTTGACAGTGGACCAGTACAATTAAGGTGATAGGTAGGTAATTTAGCTCTGGTAGGTAATTGAAGGTACGTACCTATGTAGGTAGAGCGTGCGGTAATAATATTACCGCACGCCGTGCGGTAATATGGTACTTACCGCACGCAAAATCGTGTAATATTCTTTCGTCACCGCACGCTTGTAGATAATAGTTTATTATGATATAAGTGTATAAGAGGGCATTTAAAGCACGCGCGACATATTTCAAAACCCGACGCGCAGCGGAGTGTTTTGTAAGTCGCAAGGGCTTTAAATGCCCTCTTATACACGCATATCATACGCTATTTTTTATTACGAATGCATCATAATCTCAAAAATGTTTTAAAAGTGTTCATTCATTTTGATAAGTAGTAATTTAAATGGCAGGTATGCAGGTAAATATCTAGGTAATGAAGGTGGATCGAACGTTTCTATAGCAAACCTTTGAAAAGGTAGACGCATCATAAACATCATTTTTTTACCACTAACCTGAGAAATTGTCATTATTCAATCTATTTTTCTAGGAAAAAATTGAATTTCTCTCCCTAATGTGTGAATAATGAAAATAATGAAAAATAATGAAAAAATACCTAGGTTAATAATGAAAATGACGTCATGACGCAAGGATATTGTCATGTTTCTATTGGTTCAATTTCATTTCCATACGTCAATTTGAAAAAAAATACAGGTTTCTGTAGGTACATAGGAAGTTATCATAAGCTGTTGATAGAGGGCAGCACTTTCAAGAGGGCGTTCAAAAAAAAATAATTGGAGCACAGATTTTAAACAAATTTTTCATTTTCTACTAGCAGTAGTAAAAAAAATTCTATATATTCCTCGGTAGAGAATGTCATTATATACCTCACTCACTATAAGGACCAACTTCTCTACCTAGGTATATAATATACTATTTATGCACGCTGCAGCGTGCGATAATCGTTGATTATGATGCATGCGTAATAAAAAATTATAAACAGTATCGGTTTAAGGATGCCCAAAGATGACAAAATCGCAAATAAAAAATCTAAGTCGGTATTTAAAAAAAGTAAGTTGAAGATGGCCGCCTGAAGACGAAAGGTCGGATTTCAAATTTAGTAGCACCATCTTCTAAAGGTGAAAAGTGACAATGATGAAGTGACCTTTATTTTAAAATTGCTCTTCAAATAAGCTCTGGAAAATATAAAAACGATTTTACAAAATTTCGGTTTTTTCCGAATATCTCCGGAAGTATTCGGAATTTTTCTAATTTCAGACCGGCATTCTGTTGGTCATAAAATTGCGCAACTTTGCCATAATTTAACCGACCCTGTATCTCTTACGGTTTCCGAGATCCCCATGATGAGGCTCGAATTTGGGCCATCCTGTACAAACCAAAGGGGGTGATTCTTTGGTTTATTTTATGACTTAAATTTCTAATAAATATAGGTCCGCAAACGCTTCGTTACCGATCTACAGGGTGTTGAAATTCTAATATTTTCTCAGTTTTTCCTTTATAGCTCCTGCAATTTTTGAGGGATTTAGCTCAAATTTGGAATATAGGTTACGCCATAGGAGCTAAATGGTTGCTCTTGTCGAACGTTTGCCGGAATCTACAGGGTGATGTTTTTCCAGGCGTCATGCCTCCTTTTCTGCACCTGAACTTCTTTGCGGTGCGCAGCTGGTAGATTCTGAAAAAGAAAATAGCGATTTTCCGCACTGATATGCGTGCGGAAAATGAATTTTCCCGCACGGTGCGGTAAAACTTTTTTTTTTACATATCAGTGCGGAAAAAGTTTTTCCGCACGGCTGTCAGTGCGGAAAAAAATTTACCGCACTGATATGTCAAAAAAAAAAAGAAAAATTTTACATTTTTTCGCCTGTAGGAAAAATATTGTACCTAACACTTGCGGAAAATATTTTACCTACGAGCGTGCGGTAAAGTGCACTTTACCGCACGTATTTGCAAATGGAAAGTATCACTTTACCGCACAGTATGCGGTAAAGTGCACTTTACCGCATAGTGTGCGGTAAAGTCAACTTTACAGCATAGTATGCGGTAAAGTAGAATGCAAGTGTGCGGTAAAGTGTACTTTACCGCATAGTGTGCGGTAAAGTAAAATTTGATATTTATAATCAAAAATCCTCTCTTTTTCAGAAAATGGATTTTTGATCATTTCTAAATTTTATCTAATTTCATTCATTAATCTGATTCATTAATTAATTTTATCAATGCCTTTTTTTGGAGTTGTAGATGCTCATAGGTAAAATGTTGTACCTAACACATGCGGATAGTGCCTTTACCGCCCTTAACGGCTTGACCGAACTCCGCTTCGCGTCGTTCGGTCAACTGCCGTTGCGTGCGGTAAAGTATCACTTTCCGCATTTGTTAGGTAAATAACTATTTCCACACTCGGCTGCCGCGTGCGGAAAAATTCATTTTCCGCACTTGTTAGGTAAATAGCTATTCTACTTTATTTAGAAACTTTTTGTTCTCTTGTAGTTTTTTCGAATCACCGAACCTTATCGAGCAAAAAATTGAAAAATAAATCTTTGCCATTAACTAGATGAACTTACAGTGACTCAATAAAACTTTTCTACCTAAGTAGCAACAATAGAGGTCCCGCCGCCATATTCTTGCTCATTTTTAATAGGAATCTAGGAGTAAGCCACGCCCTCGCCACCATATTCTTGCTCATTTACAATATGAATACATTAAAATTTCAACACCTTGTAGATCGGTAACGAAGCATTTGCGAACCTATGTTTATTAGAAATTTTAGTCATAAAATAAACGAAACAATCACCCCCTTCCATTTGTACATGATATTTAGGAACACCCTGTATAATGAAACACTTTCCAATACCCAGCAATTATTCATTTTATCCGCTTGCGTCTTTATGTACAAAAAACAGAAAACGGCATTACTTGCAAGCGACTAATATGGTACTCGCAGTGAAATAAACAAAAATTCAATTGTACCAAAGAGCCGCAAAACTTTGGGCCTACACAGTTTTGCCACACAATTTTATAATTTACTACCAAAAAAAAAATAAGTGACATACCTAATTAAAAAAAATTTCATGAAAACTGTAAAAAGTTTTTTGAAATACTCTACAGAGAATATAGTTCCAAATGGTACATAATGACAATTCTATGCATAAAATATTGTGATTCAAACTCGATAATCATAAAGAATACTACATACTATTACATCTTACATTTTACACTAAACAATAGCACAAGGGCAGTGCTTTACCAACCACATAGGTACATAAAAAATTAAGAACAACACCAATTATCACAGGGAACGGTTCAATTTGGCTTTGACTGTTTGTGAGGTGTGAGTTGAAATCCATCGAGAGATATTCATTGAAATGAGCCATAATTCTGTTTGCCACCGTATTTTTTCCCACATCAATACGGCTATAGTTCAAGGAAAAACAGTTCAGATTGTTTAGTGGAACCAGCTGGAACTTTGAAATTGAACAATGATAGGAGCTCAGGGGAGTCAACAATACCCATAGACATAAAACCAAGGTTTTATGTCTATGACAATACCACTTAGTATTTTATGTCCAAATGACATTGAAAGCCTTGTCTTCAGACGAATAATATAGTATTAAAGATATTTTATTACTTTTTGATGTAAATTCACAAGATATACATACAATAGCAAATTGCTTGGAACTTAAATGAGGAGTTTTTTTCCTCTCTAGAAAAACCAGAACTTACGGGATAAGTTGGCAACACTGGATGTTTTTTTAACTTGCCCAGATAATTACAACTTAAAATAGTTTACATAGGATTACATTAGAAAATAAGAATACATCAGGCTTGTACACTGGAATACATTGGCGGTTTACCCCTGTGTGGTATTTTAATCAGTACATTGATACCCATAAAGTGTGCCAGACGCAGTACAGTCATGTAAGTAGAACTCTTATTGTGCAGCAGATTTTAAGGAATGTAAAGGGGTGAACTTATGTGTATCTACTTACTGGAATTTCGTTTCTGTGATACCTACCTACTAGCAAATAAAAATATTAATCAATCTAAACATAGTTCTAGTTCCAATAATAAAACAGTTCTTAGGGCAATTTTTTTTTCATTTCAGTGGCATTAGAACGAACTCTGACATGGGGTAATTTTACAGCAAGAATAGTGCATCCACCAGTACAAGAAGAAAAAATTGAAGCAATAGAAACTGAATCCTAAGTTTTATTATTTATAAATGAAGTTGATACAAATAAATTAGACATGCAGTAGATTAGCGAAAACCTAAAAAATAAACAATTATATAACATTTTAGTTTCTTCAAACACAAATATGTAAATATAAAAAAATATGTATATTGTAGTGACAATATAGATGCAATATTTATGGTAGGAACTTTTTTTCTCCTCTCAGATCACAGCCTAGGATTAGTTTGATTAACCCTGAATTTTTCCATTCCGACCATCAATGCAGCTCTGTGATTGAAAATATAATAATTTTTTTAACATAAACATTAATATTAATTTACTTACCGATAAGTTTCATATTTCATAACAATATTTTGCAGCTCTTGCTTATAAAGCCTTGTTAGCATCGCATTATAACATTCCAATTCTGATAGTCTAAACATATCCCATCTGAGTTTATGGTCTATTTCTGTTCCAGCTAAAAAAATTCAATTATAATAAAAACAATTAATTTTAAATTCTTAATTTCCTACTTTTGAAATACACATTCAACCAATGTGGGATTTCTTCCATCAGATATGGATTAGCTGGTACCAAAACACTGTGAGGTTGATAATGAGTCGGTCTCACTGGTAAGTACCTTTGATAGGTTTGAGGTGAGATATTGCTATAATTGAAACAGGGTACCAAACAGGGGTGTTCATATTGCGCTTGTCTTGTTATATGGCTAAAATGTTAGTGTCAAATCAATTGTTCACGATAAAGTTGATCTTAATTACTTTACATAATAAACTCCATAAATTGGGCTTTGTATGCATTGCCAACCTGTTGGAAGGCCTTCACGTTCCAAGGGATGAGACCAATGGGTTGTTTTGGTGTTATGGTCAATGTAATATTTTCGACCTCTCAGTGTGTAGTCTACTGACCATCCTGGAGGTAATGGCAACTCTTCTGATGGTTCTATAAAGATTTTGGTATAATAAGAAAATGTTGTCTTGAACTATTACCTTGAGTATTTTCATTTCTACCCACGCTTTGTCTTAAATTATGAGCCAATGATTCACCATAAGACATTCCTTGGTATTGATTCCTATTGAAACGGTCTATTTGTGTATTACTGTATATTGGGGTGGTTTGATCTTGATTTGTTCTATTTATTTGTAATTAGTTGATATAGATATTTATTTATTTTATACGCCTTACCTCAACACACTACTGTCTCGAGTATTTTGGTAAATAGGAGAATTTGTCCTATTGTAAGTGTCTTTGTATAAGATATTTGGTTCGAGAGGATAGATTTGATCAATTTCTACATAATTAGCATTGTTCTGAAAAAAATATAGATGTTATAAAGATGTGATATTCTGAACGATAATCCCAAAATTAAAACATTGGATTGAGTTATTGTAGGTTTATACCTATATTAGAGTTGTAGTTAGAAAATAATACTTACTGAAGAGTTATCATTATAACTATTGCCTACCAACTGGTTGGCATAAATATGGTTCATCGAATTCACATTATTTGAATTATTAGGACCACTGAAATTACTTCCGTACAAATGACTCTCCGGCCCTAATCCGACTGATAAATTAGCAAAGCTAAAAACAAAACATTAATAAAAACTTTAAACTTAAAAATATACACATACCGTGTTGCAAGATCAGGCACAGAAGCACTGGGAGTGTATTTACCTTCGTGTGCACCCAATCCCACATCACTAATTGTGGCTTTTTGATTGCCAAATTTTTGAACGGTCTGTAATGTAGCGTTGTGAGGTGCTGTATGAGGAATGGTACTTTGTGGAGGCAAAGACGATCTGCTCTGGTTTGAACTACGTCTCTTGGGTTCAGTGGTCCAGATATTAATAACTGAAAAAATCGGTTATTTCATTTCTTGCCTCGACAAGTTGTGATTTTATTCTTACTTGGCATTTCGGGTGGAGTGTCTTTTTTCACATATTTGCCTACGACACCCTCGTTGATTGCCCTTAGATCTTTGTTCTTCCTTGACAACATTGCGATAGTTTTCTTTGGCAAACGTTTAATAGTTTGGCGGCTTGTGGGTGGGTGTGATAGTTCAATAAAAAAAAGGGAGCGATTTTATGAAATATCAAGAAATTTAAACGTTTCTTTCAAGAGAAAAATCACTAAAAATAGGAAATGGTTACAATATTCCAGGATGATTCATAATAAAAATGGTCTCTGTAGTCGTAGCAGAGTTTGTGGCTGGCTGGATCGGTGGTGAGTAAAACATGTTCGTTGTCATCATTGCAATGAAATTCAAAATACTCTACTTCAAAAATGCCTATCTACAGTTTTTTATATTAAAAAATTAAATTTGAAAATTTGTTTACATTCCATAAAAATTTGGAATTTTCTGTATGTCAAAAATCGAAAAATGACAATTTTGACATATATGAAGGCGTAGCGTTTTCAATCTTGAAAATGTATATGTGTTCCGAGCATTTTTTTTTTCAATTTTAGTTCTAGGGTTGCTTTTTGGTGCCACTGACACTGCTAGGATTGCTCATCGTACCTAACTTGAAGAATCTAACTAAGGGCGCGTTTGGGTTCAAGCTCGGTGCACTCAGAGCTTGCACTTTTGTCTCTTTTTCGTTATTTTTGAAGCTCCGACAACGCTTGATTGTTTTTGGTTTGACATATTTTGAGCGCTCAGAGCGAGCTCGATAAACTCCGAGTTTGTGGGATGGGCAACTGGAGCGTGCATGCGCAGTTTAATCTGTCTGTATAAACTAACCTATTTTCCATGATAAGATAAATAAACAATCCTGCTGAATTTTAACATATACTTGTTAGGTCACCGGCGTATACAAAGGGGGGGTAATGGGGGTAATTACCCCCCCCAAGATCGTTACGATGGACGAAAAAAATGTACCCTACACCTTACAAATAAATCTATTTTTTATATTTTTACTTTTCAGCAACTGGCCCTAACTTGTTTTCTAGTTTGCACAGTGTCCGCACTGCCCGCATGCCATTTATAGCGAATTCTATTCAAAGGGATAGTGCACACTGAGTGTATTCATATCTTTCTCTACTAGCTTGCATAAGAAAGAGATAAATAAATTTTTTGTATTAATCCTACCAATAGAATTCGCTATGCCTAGTACAGAACATATTTACCTAACAAGTGCGAAAAATGAATTTTTCCGCACGAGTCTGTCGTTCACCCAAAGACGCGTAGCGGAATTCGGTGAAGCAGCCAAGTTCGGAAGACAGATTTTTCGCATGTGTTAGGTACAATAGGTTATTTACAGACGTGCGGAAATAAGTAGGTACATATACCCAAGGATGATACACACTACTATTACTACAGGATGGCTTATCCTCATAAGGCCTGTTTGTAAAAAATCCCCCTCTACCCCCCTTAGCCAAACAACCAGTTGTGACGTAAGCAGCATGGCGTTTCTCGCCTTGACGTAGGCTGTTTAAACAGCTGAAAACTTAGTTATGACGTCGACAATGGTTGAAAACAGTTGAAAACCAATATGGCGGCGATTACCAAAAACGAGAAAGAGTTGTTTCAGAATATTAATTAATGTAGTGAAACCAAGTTTTGCATAAAGGAAAAGCCCGCGGAATCATAACCTGTGGTACAAACACCCTACGTGAAGACGAGAAACGACACGCTGTCTACGTCATCACTGATGATATTTTGGCATGGCAGCGGCGGCTTCAGATTGAACTACACAGGCCTTATGAGGATAGACTATCCTATAGTAGTAGTGTGTAGTATCCTTGCAGGAAACTGAGGTACAAAAGTAACCTCTTTTCCAGGAACCAGTAATTAGTAATTCGATTACTTTCGGAACGCTTTTCTGTAGTTGCCACATTTTTATTTTTCGTTGAGGAATTATGATCAAGAGCATTAACCCTCAGATTTGACTGGATTTATGCCCGATTGCACCATCTCTCTTAACTGAGGCTTAACGATAACTATCCCTTAAATTGACAGTTTTGCATGGGAAAATGTCACTTTAAGGAATAGTTATCTCTAAGCCTCGGTTAAGAGAGACGGTGCAATCGGGCATTACGATCTAACCCATTTCCCAAAATCCCAAAAAAAAATACTTGCTTCTTGATGTTACAGATTGGTTACCAAGATCGTGTGTCAAAATCGTGTAATTGTGAAAAATGAAAGCGTGTAAAAACGTGTAATTTTACCAGCATATCGTGCAATTTCACAAATTCAGATTGACAACACTGTCTTGCATATACCTACATAATTTGTAGTCATTTATTGATTTTTTTTTGACAGCCATGCGGAAAAGATTTAGATTTTTCCGCACCGATATCCGTGCGGAAAAAAATTCGCCGCACCGTGCGAGAAAATCGATTTTCCGCACTGTTTAATTGTCCTCACTCTCGTAGAAAATTTTTTTTTTGAAGGCTCAAAGTAAACGTTTTTGGGCGTGGCACCCGGGAAAAAATGGGCTGATTACCCCCCCCCCCAGACGCATGGGCTGGATACGCCGGTGTGTTAGGTGGATAGTTTTAGCTATTTTGTTTAAATGTTAACAATCAAATAGCTAGTAAATTCTGCATAATTGTTTACTTTTAATTAAATTTTCTCGATAGTCCTCATCACTGCTGCATATTATTGAACATATTTTTCCAAGGGAACTTGGCAGCCTCAGAGTGTTTAGGTCCGTTTTATTGTTTATGTAGCAGGACATTTTTTGCAGATTACAAAAGAAAATAGGGCTGTTTGAAAATTATCGACTAAAATGCAAAACAAACGAGAAAATTCTGGTGCAAATGCGGAATGCGGGCTCGGACTCCAGATTAGAAAATATATGCCAAGAAAAATAAACAATAATCAGCTGATCGCTCAACCCAGCATTTTTGCATAAGTTTATTTGGCTTGACACGGTGTACTTCCTTTGACGTCACATTACTCCGTAATCGCTCTGCTCGCTCCGCCGATCGTCAACCCAAACGCGCCCTAAGTTGCGCGCAACTAGGCTAAAGCCGCGTCCACATCGGTAAAAATTTACGTTGTGCGTGGCATTCGGCACAAAGGACCCCGCACATTTCATATGGAAAAGTGATCTATGTGGAATTTTGCTGAATTTTTGATATTGTGTAGAGGGAGTCTTCCTTAACAAAAGTGATCATTCCGCTAATGTTCAATACCCAACAGTTTTCAAGATATCAATTAAAAACTATTTTAATATGATACTCTTCAGTATGACGTCACCAGTATGCTCACAGCAACGAAAATTATTACTATCCTTTCCATTTGTGACTTTGACTTTACTTTTCTCCTTTTAACATTAAGAACAAAAAAAGATAGCGACAGCGATTAGTGACAAATAAGTAGGTATGTAAACAACACCTAGCTCCTGCCGCAATCGTCAAATTCATGTCATGATGTCTGTCATATAGCGATTTCATTTGTACCTGTTGTTGTTTTTTATTTCCTTAAATGTTAAAAGGAGAAGAGTTTAAGTATAGTCAAAATCAAAAGTGAAAAGGATAGTTATAATTTTCGGTGCTGTAAGCATACTGGTGACGTCATACTGAAGAGTATCATATTAAAAAAGTTTTTTAATTGATATCTTGAAAACTGATGGGTATTGAACATTAGCGCAATGATCACTTTTGTTAAGGACGACTCCCTATACACAATATCAAAAATTCAGCAAAATTCCACATAGATCACTTTTCCATAAGAAATGTGCGGGGTCCTTTTTTGTGGGTGCGATAAAAGGACCCCGCACATTTCTTATGGAAAAGTGATCTATGTGGAATTTTGCTGAATTTTTGATATTGTGTATAGGGAGTCGTCCTTAACAAAAGTGATCATTGCGCTAATGTTCAATACCCAACAGTTTTCAAGATTTTAATTAAAAACTTTTTTAATAATACTCTTCAGTATGACGTCACTCACAGCAACGAAAATTATTACTATCCTTTCCACTTTTGACTTTGACTTTACTCTTCTCCTTTTAACATTAGGAAAAAAAAAGATAGCGATAGCGATTAGTGACAAATAGGTAGGTATGCAAACAACACCTAGCTCTTGCCGCAATCGTCAACTTCATGTCATGATGTCTGTCATATAGCGATTTCATTTGTACCTGTTGTTGTTTTTTTTTTATTTCCTAAATGTTAAAAGGAGAAGAGTATAAGTATAGGTAGTCAAAGTTAAAAGTGAAAAGGATAGTTTTAATTTTCGGTGCTGTGAGCATACTGGTGACGTCATACTGAAGAGTATCAAATTAAAAAAGTTTTTAATTGATATCTTGAAAACTGATGGGTATTGAACATTAGCGCAATGATCACTTTTGTTAAGGACGACTCCCTATACACAATATCAAAAATTCAGCAAAATTCCACATAGATCACTTCTCCATAAGAAATGTGCGGGGTCCTTTATAAAGTCTGTTTTTTTTTTTAAAGATAAAAGTCAAAGTGACATTATGTTGGCAATACAATGTAAAATTGTCAATGCTTTAAAATTTTTTATGCAGAAAAGGCTTGTGTTGCCAACATAGTTACTAAATTTTTGACTTGGGGAATTATCTTTAAAAAAAAAAACAGATTTTACGAGTGTGGACCTGTTCGCCACATACGGACGCACGCAAAAATTTTCGCGGCATTCACCAATCACCGCACGCGATCCGCGGATTGTCGGTTTTTTTCAAGACATCAGAGATTTGCGGCGCAACATCGTTCAAGTGTGGACGCATTTTTTCGCGAACGAAACAAATAACCAAAAACAAACTACGCGCACACTGAAATAAAATAGGCACACACGCGTTGAGCAAGAACGCACGGCGCACAACAAAAATATTTATGTCCCAGTCAAGATGTCAAATTTGCGTCGCAAAAATTTGTGGCGAATCCCGAATTCAACGCCACGCATTTATTTACTAATCTGGACGCGGCTTAAGACACCCGGGTTTTTAACTGAGATAATTTAAGCTGGATTTATACAAGAAATAAAATAACAAAATAAGAAATAAAATAAAATTAAAAGATGGCCTATGAGAACCCATGGTGGCGTTTATACATAAAAATAAAATAAGATAACAAATAAGCAAAAATAAAAAGTTGGTTAACTTTTAGCTTCTTATTTTATTTTATGTGAAAATGCTATTTGCGCATGTCACTACGTCGATTGGATTAGACCGATGACAGTTCAGGCGCGTGGTGATTGGTTCAAAATAATTCTAATTTTATTTTATATTTTTCTGTATAAACGCCTTATTTCTTGTTTTGCTTTTGTTATGTTATTTCTTATTTTATTATTATTTTATTTTATTTCCTGTATAAATCCAGCTTTAGCTTACCTAAGTTGTGGCGAAGTATCGCCTCGTTTTTATTCTCATCGGTGACTTCACCGATGAGGTAGCTATCTTTGTTTAGTGAATGGA